CGAGAGGCCAAAAATGTTAAAGTCGCTTGCATATATAGTTTTTGTATTTTAGAGGATACTTACCTCAACAAAAACATGAAACTCTCTTCTGTCATTCTTAAATGATTAAAAAATGCTTCCTGATCTTCATGGCATAATTCGCTAATTAAAGTGCTAGTACAATCCACGATCTAACCCAGCAACCATGTTTTAAAATTCGTATAAAATCCATTTCTTGGAATATTAGTATGAAAATTTCCCAAAGGGTTAATAAGAGAGAGCTCTTTCCAATGAACCAACACGTTTTGAAAAATAACTTTTAGTTTTTGAGAAAACAATATTTGAAGAATTTTGTGATCTTGTTTTTAATTTTTAACATAATTTTAACGCGTAAGTTTATCGTAACATTTTCTTGTTAATTTAATAGTGATGGGCATAATCGAGATATATCAATAATCGATTATTTGATTATTAATAGATTATTTTATAAGCAGGATATCTTTGAAAAAGTTCACTGTATTGTAACAGATAACGCTTCAAATATGAGAAACGCTATCACTGTTCATCTCAATAAGACTCACCAATCCTGCATAGCACATACGCTGAACCTATGTACCATGGACACCCTCAAACACGTAGATCTACAGCAATTGCTCGAGAAATGCAAAAATATTGTGGAACACTTTAAAAGAAGCACTGTAGCATCTGGTGAACTGGCCAAAATGCAGGATCAAATGAAACTTCCTCTGCTAAAAGTGAAACAGGACGTTTCAACAAGATGGAATTCTTGCTTGGCGATGATGCAAAGATTAGAGGAATTAAAAGTTCTGTTGTCAGCAGCAATGTCCAATCTTCCCGGATCACCTTCACTTTTGTCATCGGAAGACTGGGCACTAATTAAAGACTGCATATGTATTTTAAAACCTATTGAAGCTATGACTTCCGAGTTGTCGGGAGAAAAATATATAACGTTGTCCATTATCATTAAAGTTCCTTAATTCGTGGTGTCCAACACGCTGTTGAGAATGCATAACCAATAACTTCCACGGGAAAGATATTGCAAACTAATTTTCATGATATCCTATTGAGGAGATTGGGTTATGTTGAATCTTCAAAAATTTGTGCAAAGGCGACATTATTGGACCCCAGATTAAAGATATTGGCCTTCGATAAGGTAATAAATGGTAATCAAGCCCTTAAATGGATTACACAAGAAGTAGAGGATTTGATTGTGACTATCACTCAGCATCTAGAAACTCCAAATTCTGAAATACCTTGTACTCAGGGGCGTGCAGGTAAATTATTACTGTTAACTCATTTTCGTTAAAAGTTTTTTTTTTTTTTTTATTGCAACAGTTCGATAATAGAGTATATTTGAATATAAATTTTAGATTCCAGCGAGAACAACCAAGCTAGTTTACTTTAAAAGCATTTTGATATAAAGGCTAAGCAGGAATTCAGCGGGTCCACACCTACACATTCTGCCGAAGCACAAATAAAGCAGTACCTAAACCTACCATTGGTAGATAGGAAGCTGAATCCTTTAGACTTTTGGGAGTCCAAGAAGGAGATGTTCCCGGAACTATATAAACTTGCAAATAAGTATCTCTGCGTGCCAGCAACATCAGTGCCATCTGAGAGGGTATTCTCAAAAGCAGGCGAGTTAACAAAGGACGGAAGGACTAGGTTAAGCAATCATCTTTTTAAATAGTAATATGTAGTGCGATAAATATTTTCTTTGAAATATGTATTTTGACTGACTTTTTACTTCATATTAAACAACTAGTAATGAATACAATCATAAAACGTGGATTCTACTAATCATTTGAGGCTCTATTTAATTTAAATATTAAAATGAGACATTCAGAGAAGTCGGTAAATTCCCAAAACAGCCCTAAAGTAGCATGCCAGTCAATATTTTATATAGAATTTTATTTTAACTTTCAACATCGAATGAAAAAATAATCGAATAGAAATATAATCGAATGGAAAAATAATCGATTATTTTATTCGATTATTTTATTATAATCGATTATTTTTTAGAATAATCGATATCTCGAATGATCGTGTATAATCGGTTAATCGATTATGGTCATTCGATTATGCCCATCACTAAAATTTAACAATGCTGGGAGAAATTCAAAAGTGGAAAATTTTAACATCCGAAATTATTATACCACGCGGCCGCTATTAATTGACGGTAAGTAATTACCTCATGTTTGTGTTTTTGTAAATTAAAAAAATTTTTTAATCATGTTTTGTAGCAACAACCTGATGACGGAAACTTTTTCCGAAACCGGTAGTTGAGAACAAATAAATTTCATTCTTCGGAATTTTTAATTTTTTATATTTAACATTACTGACCGAAGTCAACAATGGAGTCCTTTATCAAACAATATATGAAGTTTCGAGAAAATTTTTGATTGCAATTTTCAGCGATAATTTTCAAAATTCGCTATAAAATTCATTTCTTGAAGGATCCTTGTGGAAATATCGCCAATTATTAATTAAAGTATCCTCTTTTTAGAGTTCAGAGAAAATTCAGAAATGCACTAGAAATTATAACCATAATGGCCGGATAAAAATGCCGGATAACCGGATATCCAGCCGAAGAGGATACCGAATATCCGGTATCCGGCTTTTCGCAAAATCACTATCTGTTCCATCACTAGTGTACACCATTACAATATACAGGTGTCTCCGAAATGCGTGTACAACGGAAGACCACAGATTCCTTGGCTCAAAATAAGTCGATTTAAGTTAAGTTATCTATATCCAAAGTTACTTCGTTTCGCCGCTAGAGGACTTCAAAGTTAGCAACAAAAATTCTTTTATTTTTTATAACTCGAAAACGCGTAAATCAATTGAAAGCATTTTTCAGAAGTGAGTTTTAAAAACAATAATAGATCTTTATTCTACGTTGGTACAGAGTAAACTTGAATATTGCTGCATTGTGTGGACCCCATCTTATTTAACGCACATTGCCACCATCGAGAAAGTACAGAGGAAGTTCATTAGGTTTATCCACTACCTCGATTCTGGGTATTATCCACCTAGAGGAGAACTAAACTATATAAATCTGCTACAACGATATGGCCTCCAGAGCCTTGAGGACCGTAGAAGATTGTTGTCTGCGAGGTTTGTGCGCGGTGTGATGTCGGGTGTGCTAGTTGCATCGGAAATACTAGCTCAATTGAATGTGAGGGTGCCGCGGATAAATGCGCGAGTTTATAGTGCCTATATGCCAAATCGTGCTAACACCAATGTTGGGCTAAACTCTCCAATAAACAAACTGATGCGTGCAGCAAATTCGGTCGAGTGACAGCTTGTTCTTGATTTTCTTTTCTTGTTTATCTTTTTTGTTTTTTTTATTGTTTGTCTTATTTCATCTTTTCTTTTAGAATTGATTATTGTTGATTTATATAATATTATCTCTTTATTGGATTGTAATCCGTTGGGATAATAAAGAATATTATTATTATTATTATCACGCACAGTGCCAACCTCAATCGTGGAGAATTCAAAGTTTCTATCAGAAAAAGAAGTATCACTGTACAAATCCAAATTATCTCCCGCAGGTATACTGTCGGTAATACTCGTGACCCCATCAATAAAAAAGTCATTCAGTTCGTCAGCCTTTTTGAGATGATCCGGCATGCCTTCCCCGTAACGCTTCCTTCGCTTCACGTTTAAAGATAACTTCACATGACTTTTCCATTATTCTTGTGTTTCTAAAATTGTATCAAAAACCATAAAAAGACGTGAATTGAACCTAGGAACTCACTTCTGAAAAATGGTTTCAGTTGATTTACGCGTTTTAGAGTTAGAAAAAATAAATGAATTTTTTTTCCCAATTTTGAAGTCCTGTAGATAACTTAACTTAAATCGACCTATTTTGAGCCAAGGAATCTGTGGTCTTCCGTTGTACACGCATTTCGGAGACAGCCTGTATATAATTTTAAGAATTGTAATGTACACGAGGTGATTTGCAATTTCCTTTGTACCTTTGGGTTACCTGATTAGACACTATCATCAGATGTTGCTGTTCAGGAGCTTTGTGTCTTGCAAAGTAGCATTGCGAATTTGTTGCTCCCACATGACTCTATAAAATTAAGTGCGACATCGTCTTATTGCGCAGATTTCACGTGTTCGCAACCGTTTGAAGAGATAATTGGTACGGAGGATTGTTCGAAAATTGATTATGTAAAAAATGGTTTAACTCCTCATCTTTGACTTGGGCTGCTCGTACGACTTCAGACGAAGAATAATTAGGTGAAAGGGATTCAATATACATTTTTGAGGCCAAATGGCATTCTTAAAAATTCGAATATACCAAACGATGTTAAATTCACTGGTTTGTGAATATATGCTGTTCTGTATAAGATCCTATCATGCTCTTTATAATGGCCCTATATAACTTTTAATGACTTTCTTTCATGATTATACGAGCATTCCCTTCAAGATGAGATTAGTGATAACCATCTTTGAAAAAAGAGGGTAGATTCTAAAACGAACTGAGGACATCTTCTTGCAAGTACAGGAATGCTTTGCCTCAAACGGTTCAATATGGCAGTTGGAATGATTTCTTTCTTTCAAAGTCCTTCATTTACTATATAGATCCATCACGGTATCTAGGAGACAGCCACATCTCTCGAGGATGAATTGATCTTCTATGATAAATGAATCCTTAATAAGCTGAAAATAAATTTGAATAAATAAATTATAACAGGAAAAGAAGGAACGGCCAAAATGATTAAAAAAAATTACATTTACATTAATTACATTTCTTTGCATTTAAAACAGCTTGCAATAAATAGGTTGCAAAATGAATGTTTGTAATTTTTTACATTGAGTAACGATAAAAAAACGCAAAGTATAAAAAGAAATTATAACAACTAAAAAATGTGAATAATAAAATCTAACTTGAAAAGATTTTTAATAAAAAAAAAATGATGTCAATGACGAGACCTAATTCTTTGAATACCATTCTTATCATAACTATACGTATACATTATTGTTTTAGTTGGAATGTAGCTAGGAAAACAACGACACACCAACTTTAAAAAGTTTTTTCCACACACAACATGTGGGATTGGCGTTTAGTTTTATTTTTTTTACTAAACTTAGGAGTGATTAGTGAGAAATCCTTCAACTAACTTTTTCCACCAAAAAAAATAACCATGTTATTTTTAGATTCACAAACAAAATGTGGTATTCCCAATGGGACGTTTTTGAAACAGCAAAAGAATTTGGATCAAAAAATTGTTGGAGGAGTTGAAGTTGGGTATTTTAAGTATCCCTGGTATGTTGCTTTAACCAGGGAGGGTGAAATTTATTGTGGAAGTACTTTGATACACGAAAAATACATTGTATCTGCTGCACATTGTTACGAAGATTTTTTTGATCAAGCTTCGTAAGAAATTTATTTGTTTATTTAATAATAAATAAAATTATTTGGTTACTTTAAAAATTAGAGCTGGTAAAATAAAATTAGAAAACGTCCTAAAACCAATTTTTGGTGTTTATAATATTTGCAACACCCACGAGCCAACACAACAACGTAAAAAACTTGCTAAAGTGTGGATTCATGAAAAATATGATAAAAAAGGGGATTATTATGATATATCCCTTTTAAAGTTAAAGAAAAAAGTTGATACTAATAAATTTATGCCATGTTGTCTTCCAACTAAAGGTAAATTAATATAAATTTGAATTTTAATAAAAAGTGATGATTTTTGTAGTTTATAACTCCAACACACGTCCAAAAGAAGGTCTTATAACCGGATTAGGAGATCAAGTATTTAATGACAGAAACATAACTTGTCTAGCTAAAGAAGCAAGGATTTTAATTTATTCTGATGATGTTTGTAAGAAAACATTAACCGATCCCGGTCAAGATCCTTCAAAAACTCCGCTAATTGGAGCTTTTTGCGCTGGGTATTTAGAAGGAAAAGTTGATGCTTGCCAAGTAAATGATAATATTAATATTTGTCTTTTTTATTATTATTTTTATTTATAGGGCGATAGTGGAGGTCCATTAACGATATTAGCACCTGATAGCAAATACATTCTTCTCGGTGTTGTTTCTTTTGGTGAAGGTTGCGCAAAACCGGGTCATCCGGGGGTTTACACGGACGTTTCGCAATATTTAGATTGGATTTATAAAAAAAGTAAGATTCCCCGACCTTCAACAACTGAGCCTACGATTCCAACGGAACCAGATGAAACAACCTCCTCAACTAAAACACCAAAACCAACTAAGCCAACAACTTCAGATGGATCTTATAGTCCATCAACTTACACTTTTCCCGACGGTAAGATTTAATTTAACGAAATATTTTTAATGACCTATTTATTTTATTAGTTATTCCAACTCAACCGTATATTCCTGATCAAAATCAAAAACCACCTCAGGTGATAATAATTGTAAATAAGAAGAATAAGAATGGTACAAAAAGTCACCATAGTAATAAAAGGAGTAATAAAAAGGAAAAGGAGAAGATTAAAAAGGAATGATTTATGTAAAAAAAAAATAATTCAATACAATTCCATATAGTATAATAAATATAAAATCTATACAGCTATAAAGTATAAAGTTATTATGATTACGTTTTCTTTTGTGTATACGCAGCTTTAAGATAAAAAAAGAATAAAAATGCAACAAAAAAATCGACGAGTTTTAAAAATTCGTATAAAATCCATTTCTTGGAATATGAGTATGCAAATTTCTCAAAGTGTTAATAAAAGTGTCTTCCTTCTTTCCAATAAACCAATCCATTTTGCAAAATAACTTTTAGTTTTTGAGAAAACAATATTTGAAGTTTTGATAAAATTTTCGATGCTGCAATTTTCATCGATAACTTTTAAAATTCGCTATAAAACTAATTTCTTAAAGGATCCTTGTGGAAATATCATCAATTATTAATTAAAGTATCCTCTTTTTAATGCAACAAGCCGTTTTGAAACATCACTTTTAATTCATGAGAAATAAATTTTTGAAATATGTAATCGATAATTTTTTCAAACTTTGTGATTTTCGCCGATTAAGTTTTAAAAATTCGTATAAAATCAATTTCTTGGAATATGAGTATGAACATCTCCCAAAATGTTAATAAAAGTGTCCTCTTTGCAATGAACCAATTCGTTTTGAAAAATAACATTTAGTTTTTGAGAACACAATATTTGAAGTTTAGAGAAAATTTTCGATGTTACAACTTTCATCGATAACTTTGAAAATTCGCTATAAAATTAATTTCTTGAAGGATCTTTGTGGAAATATCACCAATTATTAATTAAAGTAGCCTGTTTTTAATGCAACAAGCCGTTTTGAAAAATCGCTTTTAGTTTTTGAGAAATAAATTTTTGAAATGATCAACAATTTTTTCGAATTTTGCAATTTTTGCCGATTAAGTTTTAAAAATTTGTATAAAATCCATTTTTTGGAATATGAGTATGAAAATTTCCCAAAGTGTTAATAAAAGTGTCCTCTTTCCAATAAATTAACCCGTTTTGAAAAGTAACTTTTAGTTTTTGAGAAAACAATATTTGAAGTTTTGATAAGATTTTCGATGTTGCAATTTTCATCGATAACATTCAAAATTCGCTATAAAATTAATTTCTTGAGAGATCCTTGTGGAAATATCACCAATTATTAATTAAAGTATCCTCTTTTTAATGCAACAAGCCGTTTTGAAAAATCACTTTTAGTTCTTGACAAATAAATTTTTGAAATGATCGACAATTTTTCGAGTTTTGCAATTTTCGCCGATTACGTTTTCAAAATTCGTATAAAATCAAGTTCTTGGAATATGAGTATGAAAATTTTCCAAACTGTTAATAAAAGTGTCCTCTTTTCAATGAACCAACCCGTTTTGAAAAATAACTTTTAGTTTTTAAGAAAACAATATTTAAAGTTTTGGTCAAATTTTCGATGTTGTAATTTTCATCGATAACTTCCAAAATTCGCTATAAAATTAATTTCTTGAAGAATCCTTGTGGAAATATCACCAATTATTAATTAAAGTATCCTCTTTTTAATGCAACAAGCCATTTTGAAAAATCACTTTTGGTTCTTGAAAAATAAATTTTTGAAATAATCGACAATTTTTTGAATTTTACAATTTACGCCGATTAAATTTAAAAAATTCGTATAAAATCCATTTCTTGGAATTGACTGTGCAAGTTCCCAAAGTGTTAATAAAAGTATCCTCTTTCCAATGAACCAACCCGTTTTGAAAAATAACTTTTAGTTTTTGAGAAATCAACAACTGAGCCTACGATTCCAACGGAACCAGATGAAACAACCTCCTCAACTAAACCAACAACTTCATATGGATCTTATAGTCCATCAACTTACACTTTTCCCGATGGTAAGATTTAATTTAACGAAATATTTTTAAAAGCCTAATTAATTTATTAGTTATTCCAACTCAACCGTATATTCCTGATCAAAAACCACCTCACGGTATTATAATTGTAAATACGAATAAGAATGGTACAAAAGTCGCCATAATAATAAAAGGTGCAATAAAAAGGAAAAGGAGAAGATTAAAAAGAAATGATTGATGTTTTTTTTTATAAAGCGACGTCCATATAGTATAATAAATATAAAATGTATACAACTATTAAAGTATAAAGCTTTAAAATAAAGAAGGAATAAAAATGCAACAAAAAAGTAGAAAAGGCGTGGATTTTTTTTCGAAATCTATGATTATTTCGGAATGTAAATGTTTAATTGTTTTTTTTTTCGTGGACACAACCTCATTTTTCAGCTTTAATAAAAAAATTACTCCAACTGATTTTATTATGGCAATGTTAAGAAAGTTAAAGAGAATTTTGTTCTTAAACATTGTACAGGATCTAATAATTTGGGGACTTAGGTGTTTAAAATTTNCCAACCCGTTTTGAAAAATAACTTTTAGTTTTTGAGAAAACAATATTTGAAGTTTTGATAAAATTTCGATGTTGCAATTTTCATCGATAATTTTCAAAATTCGCTATAAAATTAATTTTTTGAAAGATCCTTGTGGAAATAGCCTTATAATTTTATTAGTTATTCCAACTCAACCGTATATTCCTGATCAAAATCAAAAACCACCTCATGTTGTTATAATTGTAAATAAAAAGAATAAGAATGGTACAAAAAGTCGGCATGATAATAAAAGGAGTAATAGAAAGGAGGAACGAGGAGAAAGAAAAGGAAGGAGAAGATTAAGAAGGAATGATTGATGTTTAAAAAAAAAAGACTCAATACAATTCCATATAGTATAGAATAGAATAGCTATGTATCCTGTAGAATAATTATTCTATCCTGTATATAGAATAGCTATCCTATCCTGTATTTTTACACACTTTTTATTCTAGGATGAAAAATTACTTAAAAGATTAGGTTATTTTTAACGATACCTTATATTCTTCCAATATTACGACTTAATGCTATGGTATCTGTTAAAACTTCACAAATTTGGACATTTGCCCGACCTCGAACTATTTTTTATATAAATTGTTACTAATTTTGATTTTAATTTTTCTACGTGGATATTCGTAAACTCAAATCTTTATATTTTGATATTAGTGCATTAGTTTGGAAATGTTTTGTTATTTTCTTTATAAAAAACTACGCTAAACTCGGTGGTGCGTAAATGCACCATTGACCAGATACGTATATTTCACCTGGGAATACAAGTCCAGACAGATGGTGCCTTATTTTGGCAGACATTCTTGCAAAATGTTTATGAAACGGAAGCCCGTGCAATTCGGGTTCAAGGTTTGGTGCCTGTCGTCTTCGGATGGATATCTATTTCAATTTGCTCCATACGAAGGGGCAAACACATCAAGAGAAAAATCAGAACTTGGCTTAGGAGGCCAAGTTATTGATTTGCTACAAATCGTAAAAACCCGACAAAATCATCGAATATATTTTGACAACTTTTTCTCTTCGTACAAGTTATTGAAATTTTTGAATGAAAAGGGCTTTTACGCTACGGGAACCATAAGAGATAATCGAAAAGCTAAATGTTCTTTAGAAAGTATCAAGGTTATTTCGAAAAAGAAACGAGGTAGTTATGATCCCGTATTTGACGAAGAGACAAAAATATCCTTGACTGGATGGAACGACAATTCATTAGTTACCAGTATTAGCACTAACTTTAGTGTGCAACCTTTGACCACCGCTAGACGATACAACCGAAGAGAGCGGAAAGTCGTTATGATTCTTCAACCAAATATAATCTCTGAGTATAACAAATATATGAGAGGCGTAGACTGACATGATTATGGAATTTCCAACTATAAGATAAATGTGGGAGGCAAAAAGTGGTGGTGGTCGTTGTTTGTAAATTTGCTAAACAGTACCATCGTCAATTGTTGGAAATTGTTCAACATGGCAAATAATAAAATGACGCAATTGGACTTCAAGTCATACATTGCAGTACGTTTGATGAAGGCGGAAGATGATAGTGCAGGTAATAATATGAATCCATCATTTGGAGGTACCGTTCTTCCAGAAGTTCGTATTGATAACCTGGGTCGTAACCTAGTCGACGTTGTAAATTGTGTAAAACTCATACTATTTATATTTGTGCAAAGTGTAAAGTACATTTACATATAAAATGTTTTGAGGATTACCACAAGTAAATATACATATGTTTAGCCAAAGGTGCGTTTACGTATCATCATCTTTTTTCTATACCCAATTTTTTTTTGATTTGATATATACCGAATCGTTTTAGTTAACATATTTTTTGCAGTAAACAATAATTTTTTTCTAAACTTTACAATTATTTTATACCTTGGCTATAAATAGGTTAATTGACACACTGTACTTCATTAACTATTAATGCATACATTTCAGTCAGTGATATCTCACTCAAGATGGAATAGTAAGAGAAATTTTGATATAAATTACGTTGACGTAATTTTTTCTATAATTATATATGTAATTAGTTTTAGAATTGTTCTCTGAATGAGCTCGAAAAATACAACAATTGATCGGTTTGTGCCTAATACTGACGCAATTAATAAATGGACTATAAATGGATCTTATAGTCCATCAACTTACATTTTTCCCGATTGTAAGATTTAATTTAACGAAATATTTTTAATGACCCATTAATTTTATTAGTTATTCCAACTCAACCGTATATTCCTGATCAAAATCAAAAACCACCTCACGTTATTATAATTGTAAATAAGAAGAATAAGAATGGTACAAAAAGTCGCCATGATAGTAAAAGGAGTAATAAAAAGGAAGTCAGTCACTGATTTTTTATTTGTCGTGATAAAATTATGAAATTTGGTACACACATTACTTATTTTTTTTTCTTAATTTTTGAATTTTTTTTTTAATTTCGATAAAATTAAGAAAAAATCGAAAAGCGGTGTACATTACAGTGGACTGTGTGACCGAAAGGGTTAAAAAGGAATGATTGATGTTTTAAAAAAAAAACGACTCAATACAATTCCATATAGTATAATAAATATAAAATCTATACAGCTATTAAAGTATAAAGTTATTATGATTATGTTTTACTTTTGTGTATACGCAGCTTTAAAATAAAGAAAGAATCAAAATGCAACAAAAAAGTAGAAAATGCGTGGATTTTTTTTCGAAATCTATGATTATTTCGGAATGTAAATTTTTAATTGTTTTTCTTTTTCGTGGACACAACCTCATTTTTCAGCTTTAATAAAAAAATTACTCCAACTGATTTTATTATGGCAATGTTAAGAAAGTTAAAGAGAATTTTGTTCTTAAACATGGTACGGGATCTATTAATTTAGGGGCATTTAGGAAGACCTCTTATAAATGGTAGTTACATGAATATTTTAACATGATCTCAATTGCATTCTTCTAATAATTAGTATGTTAGTGGAATCATCAGAATTTTACGAAGTTATTTGAAAAACTTTATATATATATCCTTACAACCTTAACTTTTCCTCATGTTATATCTCTAAACAAGCATTGATATCAACCCCAAAACATACAGTGTGTTAATTAATTATCGTACCCTTGATCGTACCCGACGTCATCATTGCAAATATGCAACCAAATACGCAAATCGCATATTTCAATAGCTATACTGTGATATTGGTTGCATACTTGCAATGATGACGTGGGGTACGATAATTAATTAACACACTGTACTTCATTAACTATTAATGTATACATTTCAGTCAGTGATATCTCACTCAAGATAGACTAGTAAGAGAAATTTTGATCAAAATCACGTTGGAGTAATTTTTTTCTATAATTATACAGGGTGAGTTATTAGTATCCAAAAGTTGTTTGACTCACCACTTTTTATTATGTAAAATTATTTTCACTTATACAGGATGTTCCATTTAAGCCTAACGGAGAGTATGTAGATTTTTTTTAAATGGAACACCCTATACATTTTATCATATTATGAATAACATTAAATTTGTTTATACAACCGTTTATGTTACTAACTCGTAACGTTCATAATTCCTGAGATATTTAATTGTTTTTCCAAAATGTGTCCATTGCAGGATCTTTTTAAAAACTATGTAAAAACGACATTTGCCTTGAAACTACGTCAAATAATAGTCAAAGCCAGTAGATAAATGATAGTAACAAAGATATTAGATACGCTATACAGCGTGTTTATAAAGCTTACTTACTTTTGGTGTTTTTCAAATGGCTTTTTCATAAGTTTTTTAAATGGAACACTCTGTATATTGTGTATTGGTTGAATTGCTCATCAAGTTACCTTTAATTAATGATAAGTATGTCATATATCTAACTTTAGTAATTTTCCTGATATTTAGAATTTAAAGAATAATGTGTAATAAAATATGCGTTATTGTACTTAATATTATATTCTGTTTACTTTTATCAGTTTTCTTTTGTTCTTCCTTTTATTATTTGATCAATATTTTATAATGTAAAATAATTTTGCCGCCATATAACAGATTTTAATGCGACTTGGTATTTTATAAGATTTAAAAAGATGTAAGTAATAAAATATGCAATTGTTCTGCCATATAATTTACGACTTTAGAGAAAATAAGATGCACATGTTAAGAGATACCTCAAGATTTTTTATACAGCGCATTATGAATGCTTGTAGAAGAGAAAACTTGAAGAGCATTTTGAACAACTTCTAAGTATTAATTAAATTAATACCTACTAGTTGAGCAACGTTTAGTAATCGTTTATAATTTGTTGCTGCGTTTATATTGCGTATTACTGATTTAGAAATGACAAACAAACAAAAAAAAGGACAGAATATATTACATTCTATCAGTTTTTTAACTACAATAATGATATTTTATAACACATTTTTCTTTAAATTCTAAATATCAGGAAAACTATTAAAGTTAGACATATGACATACTTATAATTAATTAAAGGGCACTTGATGAGCAATTCAACTAGCACACAACATGCAGGTGTTCCATTTAAAAAACTTAAGAAAAAGCCATTTGAAAAACATCAAAAGTAACTGAGCTTTTTAAACACCCTGTATATTGTATCTAATATCTTTGAATACTATCATCTACCTACTGGCTTTGACTATTATCTGACGTAGTTTCAAGGCAAAATCAGAAAAAATGTCGTTGTTACATCGTTTTTAAAAAGATCCTGTAATGGGCACATCTTGGAACAACAATTGAATATCTCAGGAACTATGAACGCTGTGAAATAGTAACATATACGGTTGTATAAACAAATTTAGTTGTATTCATGATATGATAAAATATACAGATGTTCCATTTAAATAAATTTATTTACTCTCCGTTACGCTTAAATGGAACACCCTGTATAAGTGAAAATAATTTTACGTAATTTTGTATACATTATTTTTTTGTTTTGCAAACGGTTCGCCGGGATACTAATAACTCACCCTGTATAATTAGTTTTAGAATTGTTCTCTGAATGACCTCGAAAAATTCTTACCTTGAGGTTTTTTTTTTACAAAAAAACTTAATTTTTGTTTGCCAATACAACAATTGATCGATTTGTGCCTAATACTGACGCAATTAATAAAATTAATAGTATCTACATAGATTACAATTACTAAAACATGAAAAAAAGCTAATCACAGGCAAGTCTAGACAAAAAACACATATAAAGAAAGAAAAACACCCTGTATAAAGAAGGAAGAGTAACATAACACAAATTAGATCAAATTAATTCAATAATCGACATAGTTAAATTTAATTAACTTATTAATATTATTACTATTATTGGTGTTTCTTTCTGTTGATTAATTAATTAATAAATTCCAAGGTTGAACTAGCACCAAAATAAAAAAGATAAGAAATATTTTCTTGTTGATTTCAGTGAAATTGTTACACAACACAATGGCAGTCCTATTTATCTGGAAAAATATTAAATCATTATCTTACGATATTAACCAACGAATACCATTCAGTTATTTCTTTGCTTAAATCAAAATTGTTCAATTCCAACTCAACACCGCCTAAAAATTCGTTTTCTTGAAGCGGATCATAATTCCAAACTGTTGCTCTTAAAGTTCTTTCCATGATAATATCCAAAGACATTCGATATTCCAGCTAAAAAAAAATTAATTTATTTTTAAATATAATTTAATAATTAACTCGATCAAACCGTTTCCATAAAACTCGGATGGCAATTTCTCCTGACAACTTTCGTTTTTCTTTTGGTGGTTTTTCCTTGATCCGGTTGTAAATAAACTTTCACGTAAGTATTGGGTTCTTGATTATTACCCAATAAAGGTAAACCGCGAGCGTGATGGACCATAACTCGAAAAACACCCCTTTGAAAATGTAACGACAATTTTAATTGGCCTTTTAATCGACCAATTTCACTTTTTTCTTCAATCCGGCGATCTAAATCAATTTAAAAAAATTAATTAATTAAATTAAAAAAAAAAAATAACTCACCTTTAACTTTTTTACATCGTTGTTCAGACGTTTGATCTCTTAATAACGGATGGAAAAAAGTATAAACCAAATCTGAATGACAAATTTCTTCGGCTGTTTGAAATAACGAAGCTATAAATTGGGTGATTTCCGCGAATCTCTTCCTGGCGACGTTTTTTATGTTCGATCTCCCCACGTGAAGTCCGGTTGATAGGCTTTAAAATGAACAATAACTTTTCGGTAGTAATTTATATATTTGTTTAAAAAAAGACGGAAGCACTAAAGATTACGTTAGAGATAACAATGTATGTTTTATCTCAAAGGAAAAGGTGATTTGCCGAAAACAAGCTTAAAGTTTGTAGAGAAAAAAATAACATCAATATAAGTTCAATTTTCGGTGAAGTAATTTCGTTTGTCATGTCGTTCTGTATGTGTTTTGGATTGTTGGATGATCCGAATTTGGACAGTGAAATCGATGCTGATGAAGGTATTTCAATTATTTTTGGTGGTTATTTTTCAATATTACATGTTTTAATTAAATTAATGGATTTGTTAAGTAATTGAATTTAAAAAAAAAAACGATAATGATTAATTTGGTTTTATATAAAAGAAGGTGTTAATAAAATTATTAAGATTTTATTATAGGAAACAAAAAGATAAGACCTAACGAGTTTTTTTTTAAATTTTGGTGTAATTTTTAAGGAAACAAAGTGATTATAATCGGTTATGTATGGTATTATCTTGATTCATTATCTAAAACTATTAATAAAATAGTTTTTAATGTTTGGATTTGGCATGGAATATTATCAATGCATTATGTTTATTTCATTGAGACTTAATGCAATTACACCCTTTATCTTGTTACAAATCTGGATATATTTCAACAATGCTTAGATTAATTAATCCAATGTGATAATAATCGAGGGACCATCTAAAACTGAATAGTAGTGGTGTAAATAATAATCAAGTTCAACCCCAATAGGACTTTTTTTAATTGAATACAACTTTATTTATATCAGGTTCGTCATTACCAACTTCATTGTAACAATCCCAATACGATATATAAAATCTCTTGTTACAGTTACGTCTAGTTTTCTTCTCTTTGCTTGCAATTCATCATCACATTCATTACTAACAGAACTGTCGCTGTTATCACTTTCGATTATTAATTAAAGTATCCTCTTTTTAATGCAAAAAGCCGTTTTGAAAAATCACTTTCAGTTCTTGAGAAATAAATTTTTGAAATGATCGACAATTTTTTCGAATTTTGCAATTTTCGCCGATTAAGTTTTAAAAATTCGTATAAAATCCATTTCTTGGAATATGAGTATGAAAATTTCCCAAAGTGTTAATAAAAGTGTCCTCTTTCCAATGAACCAACCCGTTTTGAAAAATAACTTTTAGTTTTTGAGAAAACAATATTTGAAGTTTTGATAAAATTTTCGATGTTGCAATTTTCATCGATAATTTTCAAAATTCGCTATAAAATTAATTTCTTGAAGGATCCTTGTGGAAATATCACCAATTATTAATTATAGTATCCTCTTTCTAATGCAACAAGGCGTTTTGAAAAATCGCTTTTAGTTTTTGAGAAAGAAATTTTTGAAATCATCCACAATTTTTTCGAATTTTGCAATTTTCGCCAAATAAGTTTTAAAAATTCATATAAAATCCAGTTCTTGGAATATGAGTTTGAATATTTTCCAAAATGTTAATAAAAGTGTCCTCTTTCCAATGAACAAACACGTTTTCAAAAATAACTTTTAGTTTTTGAGAAAACAATATTTGAAGTTTTGATAAAATTGTCGATGTTGCAATTTTCATCGATAACTTTCAAAATTCGCTATAAAATTAATTTCTTGAAGGATCCTTGTGGAGATATCACCAATTATTAATTAAGGTATCCTCTTTTTAACGCAAAAAGCCGTTTTGAAAAATCACTTTTAGTTCTTGAGAAATAAATTTTTGAAATAATCGACTTTTTTTTGAATTTTGCAATTTTCGCCGATAAGGTTTTAAAAATGTAAAAAAAAGTTTTAAATCCGAATGATTCTAGTTCTAGGTCTTGTGTTAGTTCTAGTGCGTCACTTAAGACGGCAGCTCAGAGTTATCATAAGGACGCCACCTTTTCCAAGCAAAACTTTTCCTTTGCAAAACTACCCCATGTGCAAGTGTATAGTAGTGGAATGTTATCTACGCATTATGTTTATTTGATTGAGACTTAATATAATTACACTCTTTATCTTGTTACAAATTTCAATGAGAGGTCATCATAATAATCAAATGCAGATAACAAGCTGAATGACCACACACTCATTGCAATCAAGCCCAGCTATAAAGATCTTCTTAAACATAACTTATAGCCATCTCAGTTGAATCAAATCCCAAAAAAATCTTTAAATATATCTTCAGCTTTATCTGCAGTTGGTGGAAGAGTACTTAGATCAGCTAGTCGTTTACTTTGATAAACATTAAGTGTGTAAAGGTTGGTTTAAACTTGGTCTGCTTTAAGCATGGCTGGTTTGGTGTGTAGTAGCTATAATTGGTGTGATATGTTCCTTGGGTTTGGATAGCCACTGTTTCGGTAATCATTATAACAACCAATCCTGCACAACTCAGTTGCATCGTTTACTCAACCTCAAAACTACCGCAAAAAATCAAGGTGGACCGCGATTTAAGAGACTTGAATATTGATAAGTAACTTATTACAAGTATTTTATGGAGAAAAGGTAAAGTATCTTGTAGACAAGGATGTATTTACCAATAGAATGAAAAGGCTATAGCCTGGAGCGGCAGTTTTTAAGAGGCGGCATAATTTAATTAATTGAAATTTCGATGAAAATCGTAAAAAAAAGAAAACGATGGGCAGTAAGTTAAAATAATCCAGTCGTGGTCGTCCGTTATGAGGTCGTGACGAGATAATAGACTTTTCTAGTAATGTAAATTTTTTAATGGCAATGGAATTGATGGCAAAGTTTGATCCATTCTTGGCGGAGCATGTTTGAAAATATAAGAATTCTGGCTCTGGTCGAACAAACTACATGAGCTCAACAACTTATGAAGAATTTGTGACATTACTCGCTAAAGTATAAGAATAATAGCTAAACTATAAGAATTATAGTCGATGAAGTTAGAGCATCTAAATATTTTTCAATAATTGTTGATTCTTCACCAGTTTTGGCGCATGTGGATCAATTGTTCTTCGTAATAAGGTACGTGTAAGAGAATGGTAATCTTGTGGAAAGATTTGTATTCTTCCTACCAAATAGAAGTCACAAAGCAGAAGAATTGACAAAAGCCATATTAGACACACTTTCAGAATTAGATATATTTATATCCAATTCTTGTGAGAAGTCATATGATAATGCCAGCAATATGTCGGGAATTTATACAGGTGTCCAAGCTCGAATAAAAGAAATTAATCCACGAGCTGAATTTATACCATGTGCAGCGAAACTGTATACTTTTTCAATTCGCTTCAAGAACTGTACAATTTTATTGCACTGCCTGCCGGAGTTTAATTAAGCCGTGAAAAGAAATTATTAATACATTAATAGATTTAGAAAATGACGTTACCGAGAAAAGTTGGACAAGAAATTAAGTTAAGGGTTAGAGGAATCGACTACTTCGTCTAGAAACAGCCATTAAAGACAGTTTTTTGCAATAATAGTGTCATTTGCAACAAAACTTATGGCACAAAACCTCGTTGGTTCAAAGCTATTGAGTATGGAGAATAAAGCAATGGTCCCGCCAAGTCTCAAGACTAGCCACACGATCTTATCAGGTTGGAGCAAACTTTTCTAAGTCTGTCATATTAGCGTCAATTGAAGAATTTGACAATTAAATATCTCTAAACAGATTGTGAGGATTAGTGATGAAGCGGTACCGGGCTTTTCTGAATAAAAATGAAATTAATAAGAAAGCTGATAAGATATGTCAACTTATTTAGATCCAAGATACAAAATAAACTTTTTTGATGCTGATTTAACTATCTAAAAAGCGGATACTTTAATTAATAATTGGCGATATTTCCAAAATTTCATTAAAACTTTTCTCAAAAACTAAAAGTTATTTTTCAAAACGGGTTGGTTCATTGGAAAGAGGACACTTTTATTAACACTTTGGGAAATTTTCATACTCATATTCCAAGAAATGGATTTTATACGAATTTTTAAAACTTAATCGGCGAAAATTGTAAAATTCGAAAAAATTGTCGATTATTTCAAAAATTTATTTCTCAAGAACTAAAAGTGATTTTTCAAAACGGCTTTTTGCATTAAAAAGAGGATACTTTAATTAATAATTGGTGATATTTCCACAAGGATCCTTCAAGAAATTAATTTTATAGCGAATTTTGAAAATTATCGATGAAATTTGTAACATCGAAAATTTTATCAAAACTTCAAATATTGTTTTCTCAAAAACTAAAAGTTATTTTGCAAAACGGGTTGGTTCATTGGAAAGAGGACACTTTTATTAACACTTTGGGACATTTTCAAACTCATATTCGAAAATTGCAAAATTTGAAAAATTATCGATCATTTCAAAAATTTATATCTCAAGAACTACAAGTGATTTTTCAAAACGCCTCTTTGCATTAAAAAGAGGATACTTTAATTAATAATCTAAAGTGATAACAGCGACATGAATGTCATGACATAATGAATGTGATGATGAATTACAAACGAAGAGAAGAAAACTAGACCAAACTACAACAAGAGATTTTATATATCGTATTGGGAATGTTACGATGAGGTTGCTAATGACAAACCTGATATAAATAAAGTTGTATTCAATCAAAAATTGCCTATTGGGGTTGAACTTGATTATTATCTGCAGTGTCCAACACCTAAAAGAGATACTAATTCCTGTGAATGGTGGAGATATGGATAGGCCTCTGGGTGTGTCAAAATCTATTCTTGTTCTCCTTGATATTAACAAGGCATTTGATATCAGAAATCATAATTAGAAATTTTCAAATTTGTTGGTCTAATCGGTCTGAACCGTCTTCCATCCAGGTTGGTTTACAAACAAAACTTCAAGAGCGGCATAAATACCTCCTTCCGAGTTTATTATTTATTATAAGGAGATAATAGGAAATAACTCAAGTTATTGTCCAAATCTTATCAAAAGAATTAAATAAAGCTTGCTTTCGACGAAGGGTAGAAAAGTTTTAAACAAAATCTTAATAATATAATCGATCAATAATAATGTATTAAAAATCGTTTATAATTAAAAAACCCATCACCACGTGCGATAATAAAGATATAAATTTTTTCGTTAATATTTTAACGCCCAAAATCGATCGACGTTCTCCGAAATAGCTTACGAACGCTTAATCACCGAAAATATGTATCCGCAACTGAAAAAATATCGATGATCTCAACTCGCGCTAACACAATTCCAATTTGTAAACATTTTTTTCCTTTTAATCCGTCAAAAACAACGTTATAACCGATTGCAACACCATGTTATAACAAGCCAAATGCAAATTTGCATCATTTTAACTAAAAACTCAATAGAGACGACACCAAAAAAAAAAAAAAAATACAAACAAAAATAAGAAGTGTTGTTATCTATCAGCGATTAATCGTGGATGATATTTTTATCGACACCGTTCTGAATTCATATCTCCAAGATCGATAACACCGTTATCTTTGAAAGATTCAAACTTACATTACAACTCACCAGATACAAATTAGTAATAACTTGTTAGGTGTATATCTAATATCTCATAAGAAAAGTCTTTGATAAAGTGTTTGAAGTGGTTAAAAATGCGGTTTAATCTTTTTGGTTTTAAAGGAGAACTTTCGACAAGCGGACAAAAGAAAAAAAAGGGAAAAACTAACGAAGAAGATGTCATCGTTGGTGGAACATTTCGCGTTCAATCCGAATTCGGTAAGTAAACATAAAAAGTGACATAAATTTAATTTAAATAAGGCGGTGTTTATGTAACCTTCGGATTTTAAAAGTTATTTTTAGACGATTTCGTTTTCTTTTTGATTATACAGGTCCGAGTTCCTCCCGATTTAAAACGAAATCAATGAACGGTGCAAAATTAGCAGAAAATACTGCTAAAAATGGGAGTGTTAAACCGCAAAATTGGTGTGGAACTCCTATTCCTAAACAAGATGTTCCTCCACCACCTGGTGGATATAACGCTGAAGGTAGTTTTTATTTATTTAGTTTTAAATCAGGATTATACATTTTTAATTTCTTCACAGTAACTCCTAAACAAAACGATGTAAAATCAAAACAACCAAAATCAAATTTGAAAAAAGTAGCTCCTATTCCACCTCAAATCGAACCCGAAATAGAGAAAAAACCTCAACCGGAAGCGATAAAAATTCAAACTGAAGTTGAACCAAAATCTTCAACAAAAATTGAATCAAAATCTTCAATAAAAATTGAATCAAAATCAGAAAGTGAGAGTGAAGACGAATTTGGTGCGAAAATTTCAAAACCAACACAAAACCATACAAGTAATCAAAATGACTTTAAAACTGTTGGGAATGAAAATCAAAAGAAATTTATAACGTTGGATGGTTTTGATAATAACGATAATGAAAGTAGTGATGAAAGTGAAGATGAATATGGAGCTATAAAATCAACGAAAAAGACTGAAGATAACACCTATTATGGCACGCAGAACACCAGTTTTGAAAAGGTTCAAATAAAACAACCTCAAGAATCACCGAAAGCACCGAAAACACCGAATACAAAGAGTAATTTTGGTTATAGTGATCAAGCTGCAAGTATTTTCTTTAGAAGTGATAGTCCCGAACCAGAACAACGCGTAAGAAATTTTAGCATAAAAAAAGGAGATGGTGATGATGATGATAATCTTAGCCAAACTAGCGCGTAAAAAAATATATTTTGGCAAAACATTTTGAGGATTTAGATTACGATAGAAAATCTGTTATAAAATAAATTTATTTAATTAATATTATTATCTAATTGTAAGGCTATTGAAAGTAATTCCGATTATTTAAGTGTATCCGAGTGATACTGTTACTGATATTAGGTAGATATTAAATTTTTATTGCTGATATCCGACTATGAGACGACTTTGTTAACAATGTTATTATTGTAATATGATTTATTATTGTGTACACTTCCTTGGAGTTTTTAACAAATAAATTTTTATTTAAGTTATTAATTTCTAATTAATTACTTTAAATCAGTGACGAAGAAACACTTCCTATTTTTAAAAGATACGATCAAAATAATTTTGAAAAACCCTCGAGTTTTATCAATTTGTGTATAAGTGTAAAATTGGCATTCTTTGTTTTAATAGGATACAGATAATAACACATTTTAAAAATAAAAATATATGCTATTAATAAAATTTAAATCATTAATTACCGTATAAAAAAAAAACTTACCTGAAAAGTTTCGCCAAAGGAAAATGAATGCACAACTTTTGATGAAATTCACAAAACTCCTTATAAGTCCTAAAAACATCCATATGTTGAACTTGATTATGTCTCCACGTCCTTAATATATAAACATAGTATTTATCCGGATCGTAAAGTTTTCGAAATCCTAAGACTTGAACATGAGATAAACGACCGTCACTAGACATACTGCAAAAGAAAACATTATATATAGTTTAATACATTATATAGTATTATATATAAATTAAAGATAAACAATTTGCAGCAACAACAAGGCAGCTCAGCTTATTGTCAAAAATGAGTTAAATACACTGTTGCATCCAATAAAATAGTAGCCATCAGTTGGTGTAAGAACGAGGCAAGTACATAGCTTTTTTTAAATACTCATCTTCTATTAGTTATAGTAAGTGCTTCAAAATTTTATGGATTCTCCATTTCTTTCTAGATACGAATCGCAACAATAAAACTTAAAGTTTGCAAAAACGCATTTTATGCCTTTCATGGAATACCCAGAAAAAGAGTTGAAATTCTAGCTTTTCTGTTGGAACAACTAAGTCACTATCTATACCTACATTCATTGATCATTATACACTATATTTCAAGAAAACGAGATTTAATAAGGAAAAGGAGAAGTTTGCTATGTGAAAACTTGTAATATCTTACAGCAGTGTGACTAAAAGGCATCCAATGTTCAATATCTGCTAGTTTGCTGATTCTTAAGGATTTTCAAATAGCCAGAACTAATGGACACATCTCTTTAGAACTTTCAGCAGCTGCATATTCTACACCACTGCCATTAAAATTTCAAAAATTAAACTATGAAATGACATTAGCAAATAAGTATGTAAACGAAAATGATTTGCCATTTTACAGACCTTTAAAATCTGATAATGTGGTAGAAAATCATGATGACATTGATATGACTCACGATGACCCAAATGAATAACTGTTTAAATAAAATTTTCAAATAGCCAGAACTAATGGGCACATCTCTTTAGAACTTTCAGCAGCTGCATATTCTACACCACTGCCATTAAAATTTCAAAAATTCAACAATTTAATGACATTAGCAAATAAGTATGTACCTGAAAATGATTTACCATTGTACAGGGTGTCCAAATTTCGATGGGTTTGCAGGGTATCTCAGTTATTATGAAAGATAGAAAGTTGCGGCTTTCGCGAACCTCAGCTACTTTTTTGTGAAACTTACAACGGCGCAAACCAAATTTTCATAGCGCTCTTCGTTTTTGATATACAGGGAGTGTTTGAAATTTACGATTTTCAGACACCTCCTGTATCTCGGCTATCCGGCAACTTAGTAAAAAAGTAAAAACGGTTTCTAATAGATTTTTTCACGTGGAATCCAATGGTGAACACCTAGAATTTTTCTAGTCATCACGGTTTTTGAATTATAAACACAACTCAAATACTGAATACTCAACTTCTAAAATACTTAACTCTTTATAACCCAAAAACAGTGATGACTAGAAAAATTCTACGTGCACCATTGGATTCTACGTGAAAAAATCTATTAGAATCCGTTTTTACGTTTCCGGATAGCCGAGATACAGGAGGTGTCTGAAAATCGTAAATTTTGAAACACTCCCTGTATATCAAAAACGAAGAGGGCTATGAAAATTTGGTTTGCGCCGTTGTAAGTTTCACAAAAAAGTAGGTCAAGTTCGCGAAAGCCTCAACTTTCTATCTTTCATAATAACTGAGATACCATGCAAACCCATCGAAATTTGGACACCCTGTACAGATTTTTAAAATCTGAGAATGTGGTAGAAAATCATGATGACATTGATATGATTAACGATGACGGAAATGAATAACTGTTTAAATAAAATTTTCAAATAGCCAGAACTAATGGATACATCTCTTTAGAACTTTCAGCAGCTGCATATTCTACACCACTGCCATTGAAATTTCAAAAATTCAACAATCTAATGACATTAGCAAATAAGTATGTACCCGAAAATGATTTACCATTTTTTACAGATTTCTAAAATCTGAGAAAGTGGTAGAAAATCATGATGACATTGATATGACTGACGATGACGCAAATGAATAACTGTTGAAATAAGATTTTTTAATAGCCAGAACTAATGGACACATCTCTTTAAAACTTTCAGCAGCTGCATATTCTACACCACTACCATTAAAATTTCAAAAATTCAACAATTTAATGACATTAGCAAATAAGTATGTACCCGAAAATGATTTACCATTTTACAGATCTTTAAAATCTGAGAATGTGGTGGAAAATCATGATGACATTGATATGNTATATGTCGTTTAATGACAGCAGAAATTTTAATTCTTCTAGAAAGAAAAGATTTTTCAACAAACTTTAATTAATTCAGAGAATAAAGGAGAGCTTATGAATGTTTAATTATTTCTATACGATTTTACAATTAGATAAACTTTTGAATCAACAAAATCTGTATAAAAAAATTCGCTGTGGACAGGATTCGAACCTGTGCGGGTAGAACCCAATGGATTTCAAGTCCATCTCCTTAACCACTCGGACACCACAGCTGTTGTTTCATCAATTTTCAAAAATCGCTTTCTTCGAGCGGGTTTTCAGACGCACGGTTCAACCCGAAACTTTCTAGTTCTAGGTCTAGTGTTAGTTCTAGTTTTACACTAACACTGTTACTGTGTAGAACTAACACTATACCTAGAACTAGAATCATTTGGGTTTAGCCACACGTCTCTAGACACCCGACATTTCAGAAATTCGGGTTTCGAAATGTTAATTAACCTAACTCAAAGTGGAATTTCTACACAAAATTCTGAAATAAATCAGTAAATTAGGTGGATCCGAATGTAACGTTTAAAGACAGGGGCCCTACCCCCCTCTAAAAAGATATCTCGCATGTGGGTGGCAAAGAATCGAGTGTTGTAGCAGCAATTTTTAAATCTGTAATGGAAGGGACACAGAAAGATATCACTCAACAGAAGAATAGTTTTAGTAAATAGTCTTCAACCAGTAGTATTGTAATCTCCAAGCACTTAGTAGTGTTTTGGCAGCAGTATATAGTCTTCTGAAACCATTAAATAGTCTTTGCCAACAATCTAGCTTTCTCCAAGCAATTAGCAGTCTTTCCAACAATATTTCGCATTCTGAAAGTAGTTAATAGTTAAACAGTATCTTGTCTTTCCAAGCAGATAATAGTTTCTCCCATCAGTATTTAGTCTTCTCCAAGCAGGTCGTAATCTTTTCTAGTAGTATATAGCGCTCTGAAAGCAGTAAGTAGTCTTATGGAAGCAGTATCTTGTCTTTACAATCAGTTTGTAGTTGTTCGTTAGCACTATCTAGTCTTCTCAAGCAGATTGTAATCTTTTCCACCAGTATCTAGCATTTTGGAAGCAGTAGGTATCTTTTTTGGAGAGCATATTTCTTCTTTCGAAGTAATTATTAGTCTTTTCCAGTAGTATTTAGCATTCTGGCAGCATTAGGTAACTTTTGGGAAGCATATCTCTTCTTTTCAAGCAGTTACTAGTCTTTTCCAGCAGTATCTAACGTTCTGGAAGCGGTTGGTAGCTTTTTGGATAAAGTGGTCTTGGAAGCAATATTCCGCCTCTCCAAGTAGGTCAAAACCTTTAACAGTACCGTTCTGGAAGCAATAGGTATTATTTTGAAAACAGTATCTAGTCTTTTTCAAGTAAGTTGTGGTCTTTTTCTGCAGTACCTGGCATTTTAGAAGCAGTAGGTAACTTTTTGAAATAGTATTTTCTCTTTGCAAGTAGTTTTTAGTCTTTTACTAATAAAAATTAAAGAAGGGGGTAGGGCATCAGGTACAGATTTTAGATTATCTTTAGTTTATAGATGGTAAACAACATTTTAGTCGTTGTATGTCGAAAACCTAAGAAACAACCGTATTTCACCCGAAAATATGCGTTTTAACCAAATATGCTGCAAAAATGGTTAGCACGGTCGATGACGTCACCAAAAGTGACGTCACGTCGAAACTTTAAAGTGATTTTTCGGTAAGTTTTACACTTTTCCGCACTTTTTTTTATTCGTAACGGCTTACTTGAGTTTTAAACGACATGATGACTTTTGAATTATACCTTAACGTGTCCCAATCAAGTGAAATCAAATTTATGTTCTAGTGAAAAATATGAATTGAGTAATTAAAATAAAATTACTTACGTGTATTTCTTGGGTACAAACGATAATAATTCACCACCTTCTTGTTCACCTGACAATTTAAATTGAGCCAAATTGTGCAAAAAGAAATTAATTTGTGTAAACCATGATTTTAATGAACTCTCAATTAACCGTGCGAAATATGCAGCAGCTTCCGGATTAGATAACCCAGGAAGTAAAGCTTGACTTAAATTATTGACCGCCTCCGCGGTTACACCTTTAATTCCAGACGAAGCCATCTAAAAAAAAATTTGTTACATCGAAATTTTTTACATATTTAAATAAATACCAATGTAAAAAGATATAAAAATAAGTTTCCATTATTTCTTATTATGTTAAAAGCTTGACAACATAAATCTACGAATTTGTGGAATTTTTCTGACGGTCTATCACCGCCGTTTATTACATAAGCCATATCGGATGTTAATACGAAAGGTGCTCTATCTCTAAAAAAAAAAAATAAAATAAAATTGTTTTAATCGTTAATTCAAGATAAAATTTAAATTACCTTTTAAAATTTCCAAACATTTGTGCGTCACCCAAAAACTTTCCGAAATCAATATGGAATAAATGTCCGGAAGTTTTCAACATAATATTATCATTATGTCGATCGCAAATTCCCAAAATATAAGTTACCACACAATAACCAGCACACGAAGCTTAAAAAGAAATAAAACAAAATCGATTTTAAACCTTGTGACAGAATTAAAACGCTATCAAAATCCACTCAATAAAGGTCTTTGGAATCAATTTTAACAAATAAAAAATGGTCCTTGAGGGTACCGTCAAGCATTAAAATATATTTTAGTGATGTTGTCGTATACAAAAACATTTATTGCTAATATAAAAATAGTACATTTTTTATTACGTTAGAAAATAAATAACACTTGCTTTAGCTAAATCACATTATGATGTTCAGAAAAACAATTTTTTCTTTCATTACAACATAAATAAACATTGCACGCAGTACATTTTGAGTGGGGTTTGGCAGAATAGTTTTCACACCTTCCTTTCTTTTCCAAAAGTAATCCAGTGCGAACCACGGTTCCCACGTCTTACGTCGTCAGTAACAGAATAGCCGTACTTTCGGCTTTTGGGTAACTGGGCTGGTGAACTTGCGCTACAACATTTTCGTGGACGCAGTAAATTTGTTTATTTATTTATCAGACTTGTAGCTACAGAAGGACGAAAATCTAATAGCGTCATCGTTTCCCCTTCACATTCGGAATATATGACAAAAGGATTGACGAAGCGTATATCTGTAAAACCAAAGAAAAGCCTTTGCCAAAAGACTGAAGGACAGCGCACATCAATTTTTGTTCCATTCTTTTGCTTCCTTTTTACGATGGTCTCTTCTGTTCCATGAAAATTAGAGCAAAATTTCACGCGCTTACTGTCTTTCCATTTGTAATAACTTTTGATTTGAGATCTGTTAATCATAATCTTCTCTTTTCATTCGTTTATCATCTACCAAACTTTTTGGTGCTCCTTTTTTGTGAGACCTTATTGTTCCACAAGCTAAGGTTTTCTCAATTTTCAGTTTTTCCACAAGACGGATACTTGTAAAAAAATTATCGAAATAAATCATTATATTTTTATTCAACTCATCTTCAGTAAGTTGAAGGACAATACTTTCACTTAATTCATAATATTGAAATTTTTCTTCAGTTTCAGGAGATTTTTCCTGATACACATTAAATGTCTTTATGTACCCTTTGATATCTGCTAAGCAACAGAGCTTATAACCCCTTTTTATGGGCTTCATGAGATTGAATTGTTTCATACTTGACCTCCATTTGAAGATTATAATGGATTCATCCACAACCAACTGCCTAATGCCATTATAATAACTGAGAACTGACGGTTAAAGTGTTTCAAAATACGGACGGATCTTGTATAGTTTATCTGCTTTGTTGATGCAGATATGATAAAATCTCCTGAAACCTGTTATGGGTCATTGTTCGTATAACAAGTGGTACACCCAAGTCTTCAGCATTACTCCAGAAGAGTTTATGGCTTGGCAAACTGTGATAACTCATTATTACTTTGTGTGGCGCACAAATTACTTTGAAAGGTAATAGCTTTCAAGCAGTTATTCATCAGTGTAAGAAAATAATTTGTAGGATTATTGCAACTTGCAAAAGTATCACCAATTATGACCTCTTGATAATCGTATCCCGGAATTGCAGTCTGTTTTTCCCGTTTTCTCCATTTTGTATCAATTTCTGCCTTGTTCTTCTTCTTGGGCCCTTTGCCATGTATTTTTACCACTTCAGTGTCACTTTCCTCACTAGCACTAGTAATAACAATGTCATCTTCTTCATTTTCTATGTCTGTCTGTTCAGAGTTATCCAACAGGAGATTTTCTAACTCAACACAAACTTTTTCAGCTTCAACCAAAAGTTCTTCATCAGTCAAAGCTTCGTTCAAGAACCAAAACGTATCGCTTGGTTCATTTTTACATCAATCTCAATATTGTACCTGTAAGCTGCTTACAGATCACACTATCAAACAACTTTTCACTAAACTCACATAAACCTCACATCTGAATGAATAAGTTTAAATTAGTGGTGGAACGGATATCTGGCAACTATCCGGTATCCGGCCATTTTTTAATATCGGGGCGGATATCAGATAGTTACCAAAAATCTATTACTTAGTTCTCCACCATTCACAGGAATTAGTATCTCTTTTAGGTGTTGGACAGTGCAGATAATAATCAAGTTCATTCAACCCCAATAGGACTTTTTTCATTGAATACAACTTTATTTATATCAGGTTTGTCATTAGCAACCTCATCGTAACAATCCCAATACGATATATAAAATCTTTTGTTGCAGTTTCGTCTAGTTTTCATCTCTTCGCTTGTAATTTATCATCATATTCATTACTAACAGAGCTGTCGCTGTTATCACTTTCGATTATTAATTAAAGTGTCCTCTTTTTAAATGCAAAAAGCCGTTTTGAAAAATCACTTTTAGTTCATGAGAAATAAATTTTTGAAATAATCGACAATTTTTTTAGAATTTTGCTATTTTCGCCGACTAAGTTTTCAAAATTCGTATAAAATCCATTTCATAGAATATGGGTATGAAAATTTCCCAAAGTGTTAATAAAAGTGTCCTCTTTCCAATGAACCAACCCGTTTTGAAAAATAACTTTTAGTTTTTGAGAAAACAATATTTGAAGTTTTGATAAAATTTTCTCTGAAGTTTTGAAGGATCCTTGTAGAAATATCGCCAATTATTAATTAAAATATCCTCTTTTTAATGCAACAAGCCGTTTTGAAAAATCGCTTTCAGTTCTTGAGAAATAAATTTTTGAAATGATCGACAATTTTTTCGAATTTTGCAATTTTTGCAGATTAAATTCTAAAAATTCGTATAAAATCCAGTTCTTGGAATATGACTACGAGAATTTCCCAAAGTGTTAATAAGAGTGTCTTCTTTCCAATGAACCAACCCGTTTTAAAAAATAGTTTTTAGTTTTTGAGAAAACAATATTTGAAGTTTTGATAAAATTTTCAATGTTGCAATTTTCATCGATAACTTTCAAAATTCGCTATAAAATTCATTTCTTGAAGGATCCTTGTGGAAATATCACCAATTATTAATTAAAGTATCCTCTTTTTAATGCAAAAAGCCGTTTTGAAAAATCACTTTTAGTTCTTGAGAAATAAATTTTTGAAATGATCGACAATTTTTTCGAATTTTGCAATTTTCGCCGATTAAGTTTTAAAAATTCGTATAAAATCCATTTCTTGGAATATGAGTATGAAAATTTCCCAAAGTGTTAATAAAAGTGTCCTCTTTCCAATGAACCAACCCGTTTTGAAAAATAACTTTTAGTTTTTGAGGAAACAATATTTGAAGTTTTGATCCGGCTTTTCATAAAATCACTATCCGTTCCATCACTACTAAAAACCCTACAGTGCGGATTGCGCCATTTTTTATACAAGTTCTTTCTTGTATAGTAGAAAGGACAGCGCTAAATGCGCCGAATAGATAACTAGTTTAAAATTACCGGTACTTTAAACTATCGTCGGGACACAAAGGTTTTAGCAATTACATCAAACAATTACCTGTAAAGTTTTCAACAGCCCTAGAATACTCTAATTCCGATGGATTATGTTTAGCTAACCATTCAGCAATTGGTTTATCTTTAAAAGAGCCTGTTAAACCATGCTCAACATGGATTTTCCTTAAAGTTTCCGCTTCTGTGACTAATTCGATAATCCCAATTCTTTTTCCAGTTGGTACACAACCAAAAGTGACCATTTTTAAGTCCAACCCTTCTTTTAACCATAATTTATCCATAAGTCGAACCATTTGGAGTACTAACATATCTTGTTGAAGATCATCGCCAACCTAAACAAATTATTATAGCGATAAAATTATAAAAAAATTATTAATTCACCTTATAAATTGCTGGTATTAAAGAAGCATCTTTAGCTTGAAAATTAATTTTTAAAGGAAGCGTATTCGATGGAAAATAAGAACATGATCGGACTTGAATTCCCAAAACTTGTAATGTTGGCGATAAAGGTAAACTTGTCGGATTCTCCTCTAAATTAGCGTTTAAAGTATCTAAATAACTATGTAAAACTTTAATCCGTTGTGATTCTTTGGTTTTTTGTATAGTTTCAGCCGCGTCGTTTAATTGTTTATTTAAAAATTTTTGTTTCATCAAACAATTTCCTAAAGCTTTCCCCGAAACGGCCATTAAAGCTCTTAACATTAATTGTAAACGTCTGTGATGTCTAACTTCGGCGATATAAGAATTATCATTTTCAAATTTGTACTCCTGGGGGGTGTTTTCCGGTAAACTATGACTGAGTAACCAAAATAAATGATGAGAAACTCTTAGTGAGAGTAAGGAGCGTTTTAATAAGAAAGCTGCTAATGGGGAATCTTCGTAAGTTTCGTGTCTTAACGCGACTACTAATTGAGGAAGAAAATCGACTAATTCATCGCTACTCAGTTCTTGTAACCATCTTATCGCTAATTTTCGAACTTCAATGTCGGGAAAACTAGAAAAAAAATTGATACTTAAAAAATTAAAATAAACAACAAAAATTTACTTTGGTAAAAGTAATTGTATAGCTTCAACAGGTTTTAATCGCTTCCATTTCTTTAACATTCCATGTAAATCTGGTAAACAAGCCCATTCCCAACAATGAGCTGCCAAAAGAACTTTAGGTAAAGCTTCGGGAATATCATAAAGATAATGCCTCTTTTCCCATAAAACTTCGCGATCATTACTTGGTATTTTAAACAACATATCTTTTTCAACAACATCCTGCAACATTTGTTGCGTTTGATTATCTAAACTGTTAAAATCCCCGTGGTCTTCATCTTGAAGAAGTTCCGATGTAACTGGGGGGAAATAACAGTTTGGAACTCCAGCTATTATAATACTAAAAACGGGGTGATTAGGATCGGGGTGGGTCCCAGCACTCGGAGCTGGTCCATATAAATAATTCGCTTCTTTTGGCCAAATAGAAAGCAAAATGTTCCCGTTTATCATTAAACCATCGTAATTAAAAAATTGGATCGAAGCCCAACCGATTTCTTCTTGTTTATATTGAGGTTCAGCTTCTTTATCACCACCTTCAGGTGCTTGAAGGGTTCTTCCATATAAAATTAGTACTAAACGGGATTCGCGAGCTAAGGAGCTTACTAAAACATCTTCTACATCTAACCTAAGAAAGAAAAAAAAATTGCATTATTTTTAATAATTTAAGAATAAAAACTTACCAAGTGTTTACTAAAATCCTAGGATATAAACTGGCTAAATAAGCACAAGGTTGTGTAGCTACCGGTTTACCAATCGGTCTTGTTCCATGGAAAACTTGGGCAACCACAACGAAATTATCATATTTCCAATCGGGAGCGGGTCGATGAATCGCGCTAACTCTTAAAAGCACAGAGTCTTGAATCTCTGTTATTGAGAGTTTAGCTAAAAAATTAAGTTGTTTATGTTAATATTAATTTAATGTAACTTTTGAGTTGCAGTAACGTTTTATTAAAAATAACGAGCCGTTGATAGATAGCTTTGTCCAGCTATATTAATTCCAGCGGTGTGGATGCATGGATTGCTGATAAGAAAGCTTAGAAAACTTTAAGACGTATGTACCACTGAGGGTTCCAATTTCTATAACTGGAATTGGTTCTCAAGATCTACTAGTTCTAGGAATAAGAAAGTGGAGCATACAAGCGAGAGTTAAAAATGAATGACTCAATCGTGAATTCAAAAACATTATGTACAGGGTGTCCAAATTTCGATGGGTTTGCAAGGTATCTCAGTTATTATGAAAGATAGAAAGTTGCGGCTTTCCCGAACCTGAGCTACTTTTTTGTGAAACTTACCTAACGTGTTTGAAATTTACGATTTTCAGACACCTCCTGTATCTCGGCTATCCAGAAACTTAGTAAGAAAGTAAAAGTGGGTTCTAATAGATTTTTTCACGTGGAATTCAATGGTGCACGTAGAATTTTTCTAGTCATCACGGTTTTTGAGTTATAAACACAATTCAAATACTGAATACTCAATTTCTAAAATGCTCAGCTCTTTATAACTCAAAAACCGTGATGACTATAAAAATTCTACGTGCACCATTGGATTCTACGTGAAAAAATTTATTAGAACCCGTTTTTACGTTTACGGATAGCCGAGATACAGGGGTGTCTGAAAATCGTAAATTTTGAAACACTCCTGTATATCAAAAACGAAGAGGGCTATGAAAATTTGGTTTGCGCCATTGTAAGTTTCACAAAAAAGTAGCTCAAGTTCGCGAAAGCCGCAACTTTCTATCTTTCATAATAACTGAGATGACAACCCAACCCATCGAAATTTGGACACCCTGTACATGCAGAATTGTACAATTTATTTTCTACCGCGCAAGCCAGAAAGAGTGGATGCGCAATCCACTTTCTTGCGAATGGTTNGAAAGTAAAAACGGGTTCTAATAGATTTTTTCACGTGGAATCCAATGGTGCACGTAGAATTTTTCTAGTCATCACGGTTTTTGAGTTATAAACACAACTCAAATACTAAATACTCAACTCTTTATAACTCAAAAACCGTGATGACTAGAAAAATTCTACGTGCACCATTAGATTCTACGTGAAAAAATCTATTAGAACCCGTTTTTACGTTTACGGATAGCCGAGATACAGGGGTGTCTGAAAATCGTAAATTTTGAAACACTCCTGTATGTCAAAAACGAAGAGGGCTACGAAAATTTGGTTTGCGCCATTGTAAGTTTCACAAAAAAGTAGCTCAGGTTCGCGAAAGCCGCAACTTTCTATCTTTCATAATAACTGAGATGACAACCCAACCCATCGAAATTTGGACACCCTGTACATGCAGAATTGTACAATTTATTTTCTACCGCGCAAGCCAGAAAGAGTGGATGCGCAATCCACTTTCTTGCGAATGGTTTGTGTGTCGTTAACCGTGATGGACAGATTTTGGTAACCGGAAAGGCAATATCTAATGGTTTGATGATTTTGGACATTTCGGTAGTAAAACCGGTGAATCCCGTGGTCGTAAATGTTGCGTCACTAAATGAATCGTTGCAAGTGTTGCATGAAAAACTCGCACATCAAAATAAAAGACACGTTGCAAAGTTTTTACATAGAAATGGTTTCAGTGTTGAAATTAAAGATGAATTTTGTGTCGGTTACAAAAATGCATTGGGTCGAGAAGGAAGCTGGTAAACAGATTAACGCGGATCAGATTGGATCTATGTCGGGTGAGTCTATCGGTGGATTAAGGTATACTTTCATTTTAAAAGACGATTTTACAAAAATTTTCCTTAAGACCAAAGATGAGGCAGCAAAGTGTTTTGAAACTTTTTTTAACGAAGCAGATACTGCAGGTTTTCGTATTAAAACATTATTGATTTTCTAACTGAATTTCTAAATAAAACTTTGAAACACACTTTATCAAAACGCGGTATTATGTTGCGGATTGCAATGACAGAAATGCCTTGACAAAACGGTGCGGTGGAAAGAAAAAATCGTATTGTAATAGAAATAGCTCGTGCTATGCTTTCTCAAAAGGGATTACCTAAAAAACTTTGGGCTAAAGCGTGTAATACGACGGTTTTTGTTTCGAGGAATCAGATGGATATACAGGGTGTCTCAGCGAGACCGGTCATTAGACGTTTTTGGGGTTCTAGCCAAACAAAAAATTTGAGAATGCAGACTTAAGTATTATCAATTACGTTCTCTTCATCTAAAATATTTTCAGATTTCTAGCACTTCCGGTTATACCGGAAGTCGCCACCTACTCTATTTTTTTAAATGGAACACCCTGTATATTTTTACATATTTGGATTTGTCTGTTTTGAAGGTTTATAAATAACTTTACTTTTTGCAATTTGAACCAGCAATTCTCGAGTTATTCGAATTTTTCTAGAAAAATTTGCTCCAGCGGACATTTGTTCAAAAAATCATAGAACACTCAATTTTTGAGATATCAATTTAGGATTCAGAACATGCTTAAACAACATGATGGAGTATGTTTTGGTGCCGAGAACGGCTGTCTAGATCGTTTGGTCACTTTACTATGATACGTTAACTTTTCGAAATTTGGAAGCACCATAACTTCATTTTTTTAAATGGCACCCCCCATATTTTATTACTTAGTCGTCTTCGGCGTCTCATTTTACATCTTTTATATTCCATATGTCCTATGCCTAACATTAATAGTTTGAGAAATAATTAGGGTTTTTTGAAAAATGCTCACATATCATATGGATATTAACCTAGTGTGCCATGGAAAACAAATGTTTAATGACTTATTGATAAACGTCAAAGTCTAATTTAGGTTGTTTGATGCTTGTGAGTCTAAAACCAGTTAAAATGGATATTAATAACGTAAATAATGTTTATACAAATGAAGAAATCCATAATTTATTTTTTGTGCACGAAAAGTGCGACAAAGTTCTTAGTAGAACTTGCAGAATGTTTAATGAAAATTATCCACATTTATCTCCGATGACAAAAGGTAAATTTAGAGGAATAGAAGCAAATTTTTTGCATTTTGGACGAATTAATCACGTGTTAAACTGACCAAAAAATGTAGTAGATAATGCAACGGAAGAGGTGAATACCTTGGCTTATTTCGAGCCCAGTCCCAACACCTCAATTCGAGCTGCCAAAGAAGATCTGGGAATCATACTACGAACTTTGTCGCGCTTTTCATGCAAAAAAAATAAATTAAGAATTTCTTGATTTGTGTAAATATTACTTTCGTTATTGTTATCGATTTTAACTCGTTTCAGTACTAATATTAAGGGACATAACAGATAATTATTAGCTCACATGCATCAAGTGACGTAAACAAGTGAGTCTTTGACAAGAACTCATTGAGAAGGCTTGTTTTTCATGGCACACTAGGCTAAATATCCATATGATATGTGTGCATTTTTCAAAAAACCCTAATTATCTCCCAAACTATTAATATTAGGTATGGGCCATATGGGATATAAAAGATGTAGAATGAGACACCGAAGACGACTAAAAAATAAAATATGGGGGGTGCCATTTAAAAAAATGAAGTTATGGTACTTCCAAATTTTGAAAAGTTAACGTGCCATAGTAAAGTGATCAAACGTTCTAGACCGCAGTTCTCGGCACCAAAACATACTCCATCATGTTGCTTAAGCATGTTCTCAATCCTAAATTGATATCCCAAAAATTGAGTGTTTTCTGATTTTTTGAACAAATGTCTGCTGGAGCAGATTTTTCTAGAAAAATTCGAATAACTCGAGAACGACCGAATCAAATTGCAAAAAGTAAAGTTATTTATAAACCTTGAAAACAGACAAATCCAAATATGTAAAAATATACAGGGTGTTCCATTTAAAAAAATAAAGTTGGTGGCGACTTCCGGTATAACCGGAAGTGCAAGAAATCTGAAAATATTTTAGACGAAGAGATCGTAATTGATAATACTTAAGTCTGAATTCTCAAATTTTTATTTTCGCCAGAACCCCAGAAACGTCTAATAACCGGTCTCGCTGAGACACCCCATAAGAATGCCCGATTTAATTTAGCAATAAAACCCATAGTTTTTGAGCGAGTGGTGATATTTTTACTGCATTATAAAGCACACATGTTCCGATTAAGCGTGAAATGAATCCCGCGGCTTTGCACACAGATCCTTGCTCTTTTCATGAAATTTTCGATGATGTTTCTGCAGAGTTGCGGTTTTAGCTCACCGATGACGCGTTTTATCTCGTCCTTGAGCTCGGGAATAGTCCGTGGCGCATTGGCATAGAGGTGAGATTTCACAAAACCGCAGAGGAAGAAATCGCACGATCTCGGTGGCCAGTTGAAGATAAGTTTTTTCAAAAAATCGGCATTCACTTCATTTTGCTCCATCAACCATTTTACAAATTGGCGGCTCTGTGAGTGGTCTGTTGGTTTGAGCCCCTGGGTCAGCTGAACCTTGTAGGGATGAAGATGGAGGTCCTTCGTGAGAATTCGCTGCATGGTGCTTCTCGAAATTTGAAGTTGTTGTGAACGATGCCGAATTGATGTTCCCGGATTTTCGACGACACTCTCGTTTACAGCAGCGATGTTTTCGCGAGATCAACCGGTACGTCGACGCACATGGACAGTAAGTCTGTCCATAATCGACCCAGTTTCTTCAAATTTATTGATTACTCTTCGAATTGTTGACACATTTAGTGCACTTTCAATTCCGCGAAGTTTGCCAGCGGTTTCGGCGTAACTTTCCCCATATTTGTAATGGGTTTTCACAATGATAACGCGTTGTTCCTTTGTTTAGCGCCCCATTATTAATAATCGAAGCAATCGTAGATGACAGCTGTCAAATTTCAGCACTGCCAATTGCACAGAAAAAAATGGCACCAAATTTAAATCGGGCTTATCAAATGAACAGTTTAGAGAGTGATTTAAAGAATGAGTTTCAAACTCAGGGACCTGAAGCCAACAATGAGGAAAAGAAACACACAAATGAAGATCGTCCAGAATGAGTTCAAAAATTGCCTAGTCATTTTGATGATGATTTGGTTGATATTCCAGGAAGGAATTTGGGCGATTACGCTTATTTTGCCTTCTTTTCTGGTCGAATTCCAGTCACATATGAGAAAACAATAAAATCTGAACATAAAAATTTGTCGAAGAAGGCAATGGGTGATGAGATGAGTGCTCGTGATCAGATGAAAAAAATCACACGTGGGATTTGGTAGATTTACCAAATGATGAACAACGCAAAGGCTCGACTTGTGGTGAAAGGTTGTAGAGTAGGGATGAAGGAATTTATATTAGCCAGGCTGGTTATTCTTGAAAAGTGTGGACTAGGAGATGCCAAACCCATCGCAACACCCAGTATGCAGCTTTTGATAAACATAAAGAAAGAGTAGACATAACTGGAAGTACTCTATATCGTGAGGTTGTGCACATTTGCAGTTGGAGTGGCAGCACGAGCGGTCTCAAAACCAAGTCTGGCTGACTGACAGCGAGTAAAGAGGATAATTCGATATCTCAAAGAAACTGAAAACTTTCGTATTTTATATCGAATAAGTCACTAACAGCGATGCTGGTCACGAAGGCGATTGGGAGACAGCGAAATCAACTACAGGGTGAGTTAGTCTACATGCTGGAAAAGCTGGCGGGCGCGAGAAGCAGATGTGAGGTGGCCTCTTAAGAAAGAACTGATTTTAATAAAACGTTACCGCAACTCAACAGTAACAGTTAGAGCTTACAATCACAAAAATCATCTCTATGAACCCATTCGAAATCAACTCGAAATGCTTGGCAATACATATCAATTAATCCCTGAATAGAACTTCTTATTTTTTCACAATTATTTTTTATAGTTTCGGACATAGGTTTTTCACTCCAAGTATCCTACAACAACAAAAAAAAACGATATAAAGGTTAAAAACATAAAAAAATCACTTACATTTAAAGTTGTTGGTAAAAACTGATTACATCGATCCCTTAAAGCTTCCAAAGCTTCCGTTATATCGATAGTTTCCAAGTTTCCCATTAAATTAACGACGAGTTTAACCGATTGGATAACACCTGATGGTTGTAAGGAAGGTAAAGAACTTGGTGTGTCGGTTTTATCGATGTGTTCAGCCGCTGTTTCAAGCTTTTTTATTTCATTTTCTAATGTTTCTAAATAATGATAATAATAATAAAAAAATGCTTAAATAAAATGATTAGTATTTACCCAATAAAATTTTTAAATTATCATACGAAATTGGTAAAACAGGTTCGTTCGGTAGGATATCTTCTAATTTAATTTGAGCCGCATCATCTTGGGGCTAAAATTTTGCTTCAATAAAAACAAATTTTAAAGAAAAATATATTTCTTACTGTTCTAGCTAAGGATTTATCAACTTTATTATCAGGTATTAAAATCAATTTGATATCTTCATCCAATTTAATGCAAGTGTGAACATATTCGTAATCACATAATAAACTTGTTGGCGCTAAATATTCGTTGTATCCCCAAACTTTTAAGGTGTATTGATATATTTGAGGAGCGTCCAATCCGCAAATTAATTGCATTGTAACGTGTTCAACACTTGTAGTGACTAAAAAAAAATTATAAGTTAGTGTAAAAGTACAGTTTAATAATTATAATTATAGAATTGTATAAAATCTGCATCACCAGGGCTGTTATTTTGAGAGGATAGGCAAAAATTGTTAATGGAATCAGCGGAATCAACTTTATCGTTAATATTCGACTGGTGCAAAAATTCCTGCCAAGGAAGAGCCCTCAGCTGATCCAGAATAATTTCAGAGTTAAAGTTTCTGAAATCTCTATAAGTAATGCTTTTAATTGTAAAACGATGCAAATCAAAAGACAAGGAAAGAAAGATAAGTGAGTGATCAACAATGTTATGTATAGTTGTCACACCCGATTCAAGAACAGGAGCATCTATATTTAAAATCACAAAGTCAATCAATGTGGCGGAGGAGACGGTGACATGAGTTGGGCTCGAGATAATTTGTTGAAGGCTAAACTGTTCAATAGTAGGAATGAACCGACTGCTATAACAGCCATTAATATCTAAGCCATTTATGTTAAAATTACCCATGTAGACAAGTTCCTCCGATGTTGGAGCAAGATAAGACAGAACATCCTCGAAACGAGAGAGAAACTCGCCAATGCTATTTTAAGGAGCATTGACAAGTTCAAACCAAAGGTGCTCGATAACAGGAGATATCTCTTGAAGTACAACATTAAATTTCAGAGTCTTAATGTAGGTTTAATGTAAAAACCGACTCCACCACAGCCACCAGCGTTGGAGTGATTATGAAAGCGAGATCGACTAGCAAAGAGGCTGTTGTTGACTTGTCGATAGTCTCCACATGGTCTCCAATCATTGGAATCTTTCTTAGGAACCATGTGAAAAGGCGACGCTGTAGAAAAAGAGGAGGGTCGGCAGATTCCTAATGTCATCATCTGTTCGAATCTTTTTTTGTGATGCTGTGTTTGTTCACAATTTGGGCGTGGAGTTGGTAACAATTCGGTGTTTAGTGTTATGTTCAACTGGTTTTGTAATGTCCGGTGTAGACGTTAATTTTGGAAAAAAATTTAAGAGTGTTGTGTATTTGGTTTCAAAAGAAAAAAATTTGGGAGTTGGAATAGTGTTTTTGACAATGGAACCGATTGAAGACAAATTGGTTTTCGAATCTACTAATCGCTTCTTTTTTATATCCATCAAAATACCAAATGCATGAACGAAATCTGCACCAATGATTGGTTTACTAACATTGGCTATGGTAAATACGAATGGGAAATTCTTTCTTAGACTTAATAAAACTGTAAGCATTTTTTTACCGTATGTACTAATTGGACCGTGTTATGCATCACTTGACTAAACGACAAATTAACAATGTTGAGAAAAATCATCTCTCTAAAAATATAAGACTTCTCAGAATAAACAAGCTCAAACTAATCAAAATTGTTTGGAGTCTGTCTATTTTGATCACACAACACTGATGACAGCTATCACAAGATTATACAGGTGCTTCACAAATACTAGAGTCAAAATGATGAGTAAATAATCTAGAGTTTGATTTTGTACTTTTAAACTGGTTGTTATTTTATATAGAATTTAAGTCTAACTAGTTTCGGCTCTTGGCCATCTTCAGAGACTCTACAAATAGATTAACATTGTTACGTTTTGTTTGGTTGACATTTCTGGTTTTGAAGAAAAATGTTTCAAATATAAGTTTCTTTATTTATCATAACGCACTTTTTGGCGATATTTGCTTATTTGTATTGTTTTTGTTTCGTTGCTATGGCAACCAATATTGTTATTTTAAACAAGATACATATATTTTTGTTGCATACTTTGATAGAGGTATAAGAAAAAAATCGAGAAAAAATGCGTTTTTTGAAAGTCTTAAATCAGCTAATTACAATAAAAGTAGGCGCCGAAGTAACGCCGTTGACAGCTTTAAATGTCAAAAAAATTAGTTTCAACAATTATGAATAATTAATAATGTATGGTCATTGGTAACTGTCTTCGGCCATCAACTTTTTGGAAGGTTTTTTAACGCTTCCGGTGTTAAATTTTTTTTTTAATATTTTGGATACTGTGGATCGTGTAATATAGTAATATGTGTAGCCAGGTAAATCCAGAGAACGCATTTTTTCTCGACTTTGTTCTAATACAATCATATGATTTGATATGTTCATCTCGTAGAGGGATTTATGCTCTATTAAAATGTGCAAACAAAACATACGCATCCCTATAACATATGCATTAGATTTTACTGTCCTTGATGCATTCCATTTAAAATAACAATATTGGTTGCCATAGCAACGAAACAAAGAACAATGTAAACAAGCAAGTATCGCCAAAAAATGCGATAATAAAGAATTTTTTATTTGAAACATTTTTCTTTAAAACCACAAATGGCGAAGTTATAAAATAAGACAAACTTTTAAAACAAATGGTATTTTAGGTCTTTCGGTATTCTGCATATTTTTTCTAGGATAAGTTACACCTTTACCTACCAGATAGCATGAAAATCTCTAAAAACGATAAAATTGTATACTCTGTTTTTAAACCAGGAGGAGTATTTTAAATTTGTCACCAGATTGACCTTGCACGTGATTGGTTGAATGCGAGGAAGGTTCACACACAGGCAATTTTGAATTTTGATTTTGAATTTGAAGGTTAGGTTATTGATAATTCGACAGTTTCGTGTCATTGTTGTAAATTTTGTTTAAACCCTTTTGCGTCTTCAATTTAGTTGAGTGAAATCTGTTCTTTTTAGAACAAGATATGGATCGTGACCCTAATAGTCGTTCACAAGAAATTTCACAATAATAAGTAAATAAATAAATAATAATTATTATTTATTTAAATTTACCGCCAAAATATCTAGTGATATTTTCTGGTGATTTTTCTTAATGTAAATCTGACTTTCGCGTTTACTCCTCTTGGTTTAAAAACAGAGTATAGTACCATTAGCGGCAGAAAGGTTTGAGTTGGTATCTTGGTTACGCTTCGGATTTAATTTGCGAGGTAGAACCGAAATGTCAGCTCCAGTGTCAATTGTCAAAAATGAAAAGTCTCGAATTGATAGAATTTACCGTAACTTGAGGTTGACTTTTAGTCAAAATTTTAAATTTGGAAAAGTTTTGTTTTACTTTTGAAACCTTTATTAGTTTAGCAAAGTTTTTGGCTACAATTACAACTTTTCGACGTATTTGTTGGTATAATGTTTTTAAATTGAGTAGTTAAACAATTTATTTGGTTTTCTACATTTTTAGTCTTGTTGTTGTTGTGTAATGGTTAATGGTAGTCAAAAGCGTCAAAAGTGTTTGACACGTTAACGTCAGATTTTGCATTGTGGTTAGTAGTTCGTCGTGCTGTGATGTTGTGGTGCGATGTTTTAGAACTTCCGAGATGTGCCGAGAGGTGTGTTGAGGTCAACGTCAAATTCATTGATTCCCACACCCTGTCTGCAATAGAAAGAATATCCACAACGTCCTCTTTGCTCAGAAGCAAGGAGTGTCAGAGAAACAACACGAGGTAGTCTCTTTTGCTATAATTTCAACAACAAATGTGGTCAACATCGCTCGATAAACATCTGACGGTTTTTGATCTCCCATTTGTGAACCTAACAGAATATCGTCCAGACGTTTTTCTTCACACAAAGATAACCTTTCAATTAACATTTATAGATTTATGGATTCATATCTGGAGAATTATGAATGATATCTACCTCGGTGAAGATTATCTCAGTAGGTAAATTTGCCAAAAGAACGTTAAATTTAGTTTTTTCATTGCTAAGTCTAGCTAACGTGAACTGCGCTTCAACTTGCCGAAATCAAATGTCCGGATTAGAAGGCCAAAATGCTTCGTACGCGAGTAGTTTGTTTTATACAATCTCGGGGGAATGCAGAGAACTAAAATATTGCTTTGAGGGAAGGCTATCTTATTCCATCGAATTCTACATAAAAAGTTGCTTTAGAAAAGTTTTGGAAATGACTTTTCGAAAATGCACTTTTTTGAAAAACACCTGTATCTGTGAAACAGTAAGAGATATCGATATGCGGTTTTCGCCATTAAGTTTCTTATAAAAATCGAGCCTCAAACACTGATATCATTTTTCCTCTATCTCTTATAGAAGATAGAGGAAAATTAAAGAAGAGTTTCTCTTTAAAAGTTTCCAATTTAGCCCACTTGTACAGGGTGGTTCAAATTCGATGTCCGAATAGGCTTGAAAACTATAAGAGTTAGAAAAAGAAATAGCTTACATGTCTCGACCTCTTTTTTTAAATAAATTCCAATGTCGAAAACCTCAAAGCGCTATCGTCTTTTGTTTTTCCCCTAGAAGCCAAAATTGAAAATATCGTAAAACCAGCAAGTGCAATTATCTTGGTTATTATTATAAGTGGAGTATTATAACTAATACATTATATGGACACTTTTTTACAGAGAATTTGGTGACGTAGTCCAAAAAATTTTTCGGTTTTAGATTTTGAGATATCACAATTTTCGTTTTTTTTTAATGAAAACAACTTAAATTCGTTATTTTTTTCTGATTACTAAAATATGGGGTTCGACAGGTCTATTTCTTATTGTTTTAGAATAAATCTAAAAAAATAAACTTTTTTTATAAAATTTTTAAACGCTGCCGATCTAGTGTCGTCGAAGAAATGAAATTTACAGTTTCCTGCAAATTACGGGTATTATTTTTCTGGTATTTAAAAACAAATAATTATTTTTATTACACCAACTGTTAATACGGAAATATTTAATCGATTGCATTGTTATGGATTGGAAAAATATGTTTTTTTTAATTTTTAGCTATAGTACCGTAATTTACAGGAAACTGTAAATTTAATTCTTCAATGACATTAAAAAAAATTATTTTAGCTTTATTCTAATCCTTCATCCATTAAAATATTACACAGGACAAGATAACACAGTTAGGGTATAATTAGATAATTAATGATAGAAAGACTTACCATCACAAGTAAAACTCATGGGTTGAGTTGGATCTGAACCATCAAAATGAGGATAAACGATTAATTTTATGCTAGTTGCGTCTTTATACTTATAAGCAACCATTGGACTAACCACAAGGCCCATATTTGTATTTGGATCATTGTATCTAAATTGTTCTTATAACAAAAAGAATCATATAAAACCTTTAAAATATTGATGAAAACACTAAAACTTACTTCTCACATCTAAAACCATTTTATAAAACGCGCTTAAATCGGCATCTTTGGTTGCTTGCCTCAAAGTAATCATTCGGACGTTTTCAAAAAGAAGAGTTTTTCGTTCATCCTACACAAAAAAAATTAAATAATAACTTTATGATTGTTTATAATAAATTAGGTACCTTATCTTTATGAACTTTTCTTCTATCCAGAGTGGAGTTAACTCTCGGTGGTAAAGGAGGAGTTGGACTATAATCAGATTTGCTCGCAATAGAAGCATAAATAGGTTCAGAAGTACTATTTCCACCAGACCCAGAATAAATATAATCAAAGGGGTCATATTCATCATAAACGCTCTCACACATAGATGCTGCCTCTTCACCTAAACATTTCCCAAACATAAATAAGCCAAATTAAAACAATTATAGAATCTTACTTGAAGAATCAGGACTCATTGGTCTTGTTGGACCATCAGAACCACTCAATAATGGATCAAAATCTTTTAAAATGCTCACTCTAACACTGTTTTTATCATCTAAGGACGGGGTTAAGTCTATTAAATTACTTGTGGAGAATTTCGGAATTTGAGGCTTCAATGTTGATGGAACTGGAGGTGGAATTTGTGCTTTTGATGGATGATTTTTTGGTGGTAAAGCTGGAGGAATCTAAAAAGAAATAAATAAAATTAATAATAAATAATTAGTTAAAATTAAAACACACCAAATACACTAATAACAAATAAATAGTTAAACAACGTATTCGTACAAAAACACTAAAAATACGTGTTGATATCGTGCCAGGTCGTAACTAGCGTTTAAAAACGTAGAAGATTTCAACTTTTACAGTAGGAGTTAAAATTACAAGGTTAAATTTAATTAAGGATATGCCTCAAAGTCTTAATTCTAATTCTCATATAATTTCCCACGTAACATTGCGGTAGGTCGTTAACCATGTTATCTAGTTGTTTTAACACAAAATTCTTCCAAATAATAAATGGCGGTAATTTTTAAATTATTTTTTAATAACTAACTTCACACCTTACTTTTCACAACTAAAAAAAGATTAAAACTTAAATAAATTTAAAAAAATAAAATATCAAAAATTTAATATTTTAACCATAGATAAAATAAAAAAATAATTATTTAACTAAAATAAATTTATTTACCCAAAAAATATTGAAATAAACAAACCCGCACCTACATTCACATTAAACACCTGACACGAACATTTTAAAGCTTTTTAAAAATTAACTTTTAACGTTTTAAAGACTAAAAACGGTCGAGTCATTACTTGAACTGCATGCTATCGGTAACAATGTGTAATAATCAAAGTGATTAAAGTGTGTAGGTACGCTAACGAGTTTTTCAAACGTGATATCAATGTTAACGCGAGTAATTAGTATTGTTGAGGTTAACAAACACTTATTTTATTCATTAGGAGTTAAAGTAGGATTGCGCATGGTTAAAACATCAACATAGAATTGAATCCAACGGAATTTAAGGTAAGAAAAATAGTTTGTTTTCAGTAGTTGTACTTTTAGGTTGGAATTCATCGTTTCGCAAATAAGAGGTGAAAACTCCTTTAAAAGTATTTAAAACGAAACGAGAATATGTTTTATAATTGAATTAAAAAAAAATTAATTGCTATGGTGAGTTTATAAGGAATTATAATTAAATTTAATTTTAGATGATTTTTGACGATTAGCGACATCTATGTGAAAATAATTAAACTAAAAACTGTCAGTTAACTGTCATTAAACTTTCAAAAATTTTAAATTAAAAAAATCACTTACCGTTGGGGTATTTGACCCATTCCCATCTTGTTTTGATGTAATAGCATAGATATTTGGTTGGATCGAACTTCCCTTATACACCAAATTGCTGTTATTTAAATTCAAATTAATCGGTTTGATTGGAAAATTATTATCCTTTGGAAAAACTTGACTCTTCCACCCATAATCGCCCAATGACAAAATTGGTCTTTGATAACCTTGAGTTATTTGGTTATTAGTGGAAAATAATGATTGTTGAAATGGTTGATATGGTATTTGTTGGGGTGTTTGACTTTGTGGCGGAGTTGGTAAATTATTAAATCTAAAAAAGTGGTTTAATATTAAATGAAAATAATAAAAATAATAAGAATCGTACAATTGTAGATCTAAAACTTTGTTATTTGGCGGCGGAGAACTAAAACTGATTAAATCAGGTGTTGAAATTTCAACGCTAGAATTATTTGATGTTGAGCTATTTCTTCTTTGGCCAATCGGGGGAGGTGGTGCTATTAAAGGTGTAGTTGGATTTGTTTGTAAAGTACCCGGTCTGGGTCTTGATTTAACTTGAAGTCTTTCGTTTCGATTTGTATCTGTTTCAGTCATTGAAGAGGCACGACTTACTATAAAAAGAATTCTTTATAAAACAAAATTACAACCAAACTAATCCTTACCACTGGTAGTTTTTCCATTTTTTCCAACGGTAGATAACTCCTTCTTTAATTTTTCCTTTTTAAACTGTTCCAAAGCTAACGATTCAAGACTTAAAGCTTGAGCTCTTTCTAAATCTTCCTGATATTGTTTTTCATAATCAACCGTGTCTCTAGCCATGTTCCTTTTTGTTTTGTGCAAATGTAATTAATAAAATTATTGAATTCAATGTATTACTCAACGCTGACTAAATAATAATAAATCATGTTTTGCCCTCACAACCTACAAAGAAAACATTGAGATAATTAAAATTAAAATCGCCGATTTTTGTTTATCTCTCTTGTATGCTTTAATCGGTTTTTTTATTAACATACCCAACGTCGTTTTTCCGGACGTCCACGGTCGAAGGAGAATCATCGAAATGTCAATGACATACGTCAAAAACTTTAATCAACAAGTAATAGTGCCCTAACCTCACTTATTTCCTGTCAAATTGGGATTGTTGGTGAATTTTTTTGATAATGAGTTGTATTTGTTGTTTGATAAATGAGTAATCAGTAATTCCGATGATTGGGTCGATAATATAAATTAAAAATAGTTATCAATTAATTTAAGAATTGTTTGTTTTATTTAGCGTATAAGTGGTTGCGTGTTAACAAAAAAAAAATGCATCAATAATATTTTTGGAAAACTTTTTATTATAAAATTAAATTTAATAAAAATATACAACAATTTAGTGCTGAATAACAACTAAACTAGAATTTTGGTGTAATTATTCGTATTAAAATAAGGAATTGCACTTTTTGTAATGAATATTTTATTATATTTTCGTTCTACCGGTTTCGACTCAACTTACAAGGGAAGTATCAGAACTGTCCCTCACCGATTTTGTTGAAATTTGGTACAGGGATAGTATGGCCAAAAATAAGGTTTACGTATTTTTTTATACGTGCTAATAAAGCCCCTGGGGCGAGAGATAAGGGTTGAAAATCGGGGCGAAAGATATATATTCGCTTCTAGCCTGAAGACGAAAATAGCTATCGAAATGTGGTAAATGTAAACTGATATTCATTTTCAAAGAGCTTTCCATTGATATATCACACATATATCTGAGGGCTTCAGGGGGTAAACTACCCCTAGTTTTTTGGAATATTTTAAAAACTACCCTGTCGATTTTGGTGATATTATGTGTCCTTATAATACGTTCAAAAATATTAATGACGTGTTTTTTCTTATTTACCTTTGACCATCTCCTGCAAAATTACGGGGTATGATAGATAACCCCTTTCCTTAAGAATAATGTGATAAACTGTAACACTTTTGAACAATATATTGAAGAAAACCATAAATTAGTTGTAAATTAAGATTTACGCAGTAAAATAAACCCTATACGACATTAANTCTTTGGCAGGCGGAGTGCACGAGACTCTATTGCAGAAAATTTTAAAATCAACATTGGTGGTGAATGTATTGGTGTTAAGGAGTGTGCTAGAAATTTAGGATTACAGCTCGACTCTAATCTTAGGTTCGAAAAGCACATCCTGAACAAAACAAAAATCTCTTTTTTCTTTCGTTTATTTTTAATTGGTGCGCTATTATTATTATTAGCTTTTTTTGTACCTAGTTTAGTTTTGTTTTCTTTTTGTTTTTTTTTATTATTATTATATTTTGTTTATTTTTATGGAAGGGTTGAGTGGAAGAGAAGACTATTGTCTTAACTTCGCCCTTGCCAACCAGTTACATTTATATTGTTATTTTGTGAAATGCCATTCTAATAAAGTCTATAATTATTATTATTATTAATGTTGCAATATCGTCTCGAACAATCAGAAGACGTTTAAATGAAGCCGAATTAAAGAACAGGAGACCAGCAAAAAAAACATTATTTACCAGAGAGCACAAAGTTCAAAGATTGCGTTTTGCCCGAAATCACCAACATTGGTCTGTAAATGATTGGAAAAAGATTTTATTCTCTCACGAAACGAGGGTTAGCTTAAAATCTCCTGATGGACGTGAGCGTGTATGGCGAAGACAAGGAGAGAGATTTGCAAGTTGTAACATTGCTCCAAGGGCGCCGTTTGATGGCGGCTTTGTAATGTTTTGGGAAGCCATTTGCTTCGACCTTTGATTATATATAATATGGATTGAGCCAACGAGAGAGATAGCTTGCGCAAGGTGATCGAACCGAGATAGACATAGAAGCGTACTGCCATATAATGGGTGTACTGATAGAAGTGAGATAGATATAGAAGCGTACTGACATATAATATATCTATCTTTGTTACACTTTCACATTATCGCTTTCCATCTGCGTCTATTCACCTTGAGCAACATTTTTGTTAGTAGATATATTCAGTTAGCTCAATCCATATTATATATAATCAAAG